TAATAAAGAGGATATCTAGAGGCGGGTCGCTGTGTCTAGGGAAGGGGGAGGAAGCAAGCAGGGATAGACGTATTGAGTACTTTTCTCCCTTTGCCGGAGATGTACCTTTGACAGAAACGAAGACATGGGGTTATAACATAGTCCAAATGATGAGAACCTGTAGGCTTGAGCTTTTTTACAGGCACTTCTTTTTACCAGAGTATCCCTCTTGGGAACCTCCTAAACCTTGATTCCCCATGGAGTAATCGAGGAACTCTGTTAGGTACCCCATTAATACATCTCTTGTCAGATCTTTTTCACAGCTTTCTTAATATTCTCAGGACTGGGAAATACATGCCCAACTAGACCTACGATTTGGAGGTCTTCTCCTGAAGTTTCTAGAAACTATTGTTCGCCCATTTAGGGGTTCTGAGAAAGGACTATTACCTGCTTTAGTTGCCCAGTTCGTATATACCCCTCCGCAATTGTTATTGCAATTGAGCATAGCCAAAGCGGCGATGACGGCTTCAGCAGCTCGATTACCTGGATACCGTAGGCGATATTGATAGTTTAATTGGTCTATTATGCGCTAAACGATGGCGCACTCTTAGGGCTGTCGCTCGATGTCGACTCGATTCCATGCCGACTAGCGGTAAGCGGTGTCCCACGATGCAATCGTGATGAACAGTCCATGGGCACCAGCTGGTAACCACAGATAGGGATTACTGTACTGTAAGAAAAGCCGTTTGGCAAATACTAGCGGGTTCTTTCAAGGGGACACAATGATTGTCACAGCGTCATATAAATGGGTATGCAAGCTGGGGGTGGTACTGAGGAGGTCGTGGAGAATAAGGCGATATAGGTGGCAAATGGGCACGGGAGGGAGCTTGGGTACTTATCTTGTAAAGGCAAGGCATCCCTGAAAGGGCTGAGATCCTTCAGTGGCGTACATGACCGAGTTCCCAACGTAGGGAAAGAAAGCGGTTACCTTTAGATCCCGTTTCTCCCAGCTTGCTCCACAAATGTGTTCTTCGCAGCACGGTAGACAACTGGCCCAGGTAGGAGATCGCTCAGCGAGAAAATGTCATGAGAAAGATGATGGCACTGAC